CGCTTTGAAAGAACTATTATCAAAATGACCCTCTCTTTCATGTGTAATCTTCTGAGCCCAGGGGCCAGTTTTAAACAGCAATTCCCCCAAAACTACTCCATTAAGCACCACTGAGAGCGCTCTCCTTGATGCTATCCACAGCCTCACATAACTGCTCCTCTTTATTTTGATCTCTCATCCTGCAAAGAAAACATTCAAGCATTTAAATGTAAGAACATCACAATCTCACTTCAGCATGTCAGCATGCTGCCAGTTGCAAAATAGCACAAAATTAAATTTGCTAACGTAGATAAAAATGTAAAGAAAAGTTATTTATTATTAGGATACACCCCGTGCACAATCTCATTTGGAGGGTGGCGATCTAGTTCCCAACACACCAAAAAAGAAACTGCAACAACCTAAATGACTTTTAATGCTTTTTTTTTAAAGCCATGATGGCAGGAGTTTAATTAAGTTACTGCATGTGTGTTGACATTCCGAGTCTCTGATTGTTGTCTTTTTCATAACACTTAAAAATTTTATATATTTACAAAGGTCTTTTCATTATGAGATCATCAAATATTGCGATTGGATCATGACTTTCAGTCAAAGAAGTATTGTAGTTGATAAATACAAAAAACAAATGAAGTTTCTTTATCCTGATTTAGGCATTTTCTCAGAAGTTTTACTGGAATTCAAAATAACAGGAAAACTGTTGAAAATTGACACAAAGAAACAAATAAGCTCTGATGAAATCTACTGAACTTCCTAATTTTGTGGCATCATAAAGACATTGTTTAAAAAAATAAATAATCAAAAGCTTCTTTCCCTTCATTCAAAGGACTCCCAGACTCTAATCCATCAAAATGCAGAGTTTTATGAAGTAATAACATATTGAAAAAAATCCACATACACTATTTACATTATCCACAGATCTGAGACAATACACATACCAATATTACATTTAACACCATTTACCATCTAAATGTATGCGCGTCATGGCTGCAGCCAGAGACAAGCAGATCACCGTAATGTTATACAGTAGGATGTTAAACCTTAGTGTCAACTGTGGAAATTAACCTCACAACACCAGAGCATCACAGAGGGCAACAAGAGCTGCAGATGTGTTGTTCTACACTCGTACTCATGCAGTCAAAGTTGAACTAATCTTGCATCAAAGCCCACTAGGGAAAACAGCAAAATCGTGTTAACCAACAGCAGCATATAGCTGTAGAAATGATGCAATGGTCTTTAAAGCAAACCAAACATTATGAATTGCAGTTATTTGACACCACATCAGGCACAGTCGTGTTAAGTGGATGATATTAAAAGCTATCCAATTTCAACTAGACGGGAAAAAAAGGGATCACTCTTCACTCTGCTTTGATACGCGTTTGCAAATGCAACTTGAGATTAGGTGCAAACAACACATATAGCAAGGCTAAGGCTTCTCGCCCATATGTGTGGTCTTGTGTCATGTCATGTATGAATTTTGACTAAAGCGCATACCACAAATATCGCAAGGGTATGGTTACTCCCCAGAATGGCTCTTCATGTGCGTAATCAAACAGTGTTTATACCGGTACGTTTTGCCACATTCCTGACACACAAACTCTTTCGTCAGTGTGTGTTTTCTTTCATGAGTCTGGAGGCTGCGGACTTTAAAAAAAGTTTTACCGCAAACATCACAAAAATATGCATCTCTGTGTTTCTTTTTCAAATGGAAAACAAGTTCTTTTGGACACCCGTATTTCATCCCACAAATAATGCAACTGGTACACTTCTCGTGCGTTTTGATGTGCTTCATTAAAGAGGCGGTGTAGTGAAAACGCTTCCCGCACAAATGGCAAAACTTGCGACCTTTTTTCCTTTTAACCGAGCAGTTCTTATAAGACAAAGCTGCTTGGGCTTTCTTGCCGTCACTGATGCCGTCACCTTGCATCATCTTTGCTCTCTGTTTCACAGTTATGGCCTGTTCTCCTCTCTCCGTCTCCTCACTAACTGCTGCAGACAAGTTTGAAGAAAGCATCTGCGTTTCATGTATTTGCGTGTCCGACTGTTCTTCCTCACTTTTCACAGTTCCTGGAGGAGAGAAAAAACTCTCATTCCTATGCTCCTCCTGCTCCATCTTCACCTCAGGCCTCTCCACCAGGCAGTAGTTCCCACTGTTACTGCTTAGATCTGCAGTGGGCTCAGGGGTTCCTGGATTCTCAGGGCTCGGTGTCAAGTCAGACTCTTCTGTGTTTGTGGGTCCCTCGCACTCCTGCAGCAGCGGGGAGTCACATTCATCTCCATGTTGGACGGCACTGTTGGTCATTGGAAGTTCTTCAGCTACAAAGGAAAATATCCACAAATGTTACCCAATCACCTGTAGGGTTTCCTCTTTGCTTTTAAATGGAAATAAATGTAAGTGCTAGAAAATGCTGTCCTGAGAGTTTCTGGAAAAGTGCTCTTCACACCTCTAAATAGAGTTAAGAGAGACCAACATGTGAGATTTTGGTTTTATTTTAGTTGTTTTTAGTGGATTCTATGCTGTTTTATCTTGTTTTTTAATATAGGGCTGTTTTAATTTTTCATGTATTATGTGTTTATTTATTTATTTTTGCTGTTTTCTGTTATTCTATTGTTTTTAACTTATTTTCTGTACAGCACTTTGGTCCTGTGCTTTGTATTTTAAAGTGCTTTATAAATAAAATTGGATTGGATTAAAGCAGTCAAGTCTTAAAGTCAAGAGTAATGCGGCCCCCTCAAAAACCAAAAATCCAATGGAGTTCACCCGACCTTAAATCTTCATTCTAATCAAAATAAAAGAAAAAGTAATATATTTGCTTGAAAATGGTATTTAAAAAAAACAAAAACAAAACATAAATAAGACAGGCTGCTGGCTATAAATTGCTATTGCTATCCAGGCCAATGTCTTTAATACGAGATCAGTAAATTTAGGTAAGTGTAATGAATAATATCACGAACTAACTATCTCCTGTTTAAGCATTTGTTTAATGTGAATACATTCACATTATTGTTACCCTCCTGCACATTTTTTGGCACTTAACTTCTTCTGCATACTTTGTGCTTACAGAAACTGTTCTGGTATCAAATGTTTAGCGTTTTGTGTCTTTTAAAAACACATATCCTGCTTTAGTAAAATCTCCTTGTGCTCGTAGTGTCAAAAGTTTGTCAGTGGGACCTAAGGTTTTCGTGTGGCAACCGTTTGTTTCTGGGTATCTCAGCAGTGATTTCTTCTGAGTTTCAGTAGGAAAAATAAGGAAAAAGACACAAGCTGCTCCTGATTGGTGGATACAAATTCAGCACCTTCAGATCAATGACTGTATAAAAGACAGTCATAGACTCAGACTGCTTGGTTGGAAGAGAAACACAGAGGCAGGTGTGTATCAATGTGTGTGTGCATATATTTTTAAATAGTGTTAGGTAATAACGATGCACAACTCACTCGTGAGAGTAAACGTGTGCACGTCCACATTTTTAAATACTGTTAGGTGAAGACGTCCTATGGAGTATCTTTAAAAAAAATCTTTTTTTAATATTTGAGGCAAAATCTTCAAATTTTCAACATTCACATTGCATTTTTGCCAAGAAATGCTTTATCTAACATATATATAATTTATATAACTATGTAACTGAGCATACTTGTGAATGTCAGTTATTACCTGGAGCACCTGGAGCTAGGGAACACTTGATTATCAGAATATACCACAAAGTCAGACCTAAGGGATATCAATCTGCCCAGTTAGGAAGCAGGAACCATTGCAAATTAAATTCAGCTCTATTGTTACAAACGAAAGTGATGGCAGGTACACTGGAGAGAGAACAATAAGACAAAAAGGTGTTGGTTTTGCAGGTGGTGGCTGCAGATCATTGCCATCTCCTTATACTTTCCGACCACCCTTCTCCAGTTGTGTTTCTTGCTAGAGTCCTTGTCACTTCTGGCAGCATGAAACTATACTTGCGGGTTTTCTTGTCGTTCCCTCACCAGTGCAACTTTTGTCACTTTCATTCACCAAAGCAGATGAAATGCATTTACGATGGTTTGTACTTCACAGCTGAACAAATTGATATCATTGGAGTAACTACCTTTATCTTATTCTGTGATGATTAAGTGCTACCTTACTATTTGTTAGCTTTGTATTGAACTATCTCTCATTATGCAGGAGCAAAGCTTTCTGGTATTCCGCGCGTGAATTATTTGCGCATGCGTGAACATCATTCATAGCCACAAAGCTGTTTATAAAGCTACGACTACAAAAAACATGACAAAAAAATGTAAAGAATCGTCCTAAACCTGATTTCAGCTGGTGTCGCAGACTTTCCGCCTCCTCTTTAGCTCGAACGTCTGCCTCGTGCAAAACTAACGTGATGGTGTTCTCCATCTGCCCGAGGATCTCTTCAGCTGCAGCGTACAGGCGCTGGTGAACAAACAACCTGAGCTGAAACATCGTGGCGTCCGTGCCTCAGGTGGGCGATAAGAAACAAAAACAGCAACGATTACCAAAAAAAAAAGAGAGAGAGAAAGTTGTTGTTGTTTTTTGTTTGTTTAAAAAAAAGACAAACTCCAACGTACTCAGAGCATCAGCCCAACAGCCTATGGACAGTTAAGAAGCCACTATGTTACCTCCGGTTTGGGCCTTTCAAAATTGGAGCGTACACGAAATGTGCAAGTAGAAGTCACATTTTTGGGAGTTACAACAGCAAAATACAAATTACATCGAGGCTAAAACAATCCAGAAAAAAATCTAATATAAAAGCTGAACTTAATTCGTGCTCTAAATACTCTAGGTTTCACATTGATGAAGCCTTTCAATATGCGGAACATTGAGGGTTCATATATAGAAATAATTAAAAAAGCTTTGCTGTATTTTCATATTTGCAGGTTCACAAAAGGAATCACTGGATGACGGTGAAATGTACCATACAGTCATTGATCATTACCCACAAAAAAAGAAAAAAGAAACAAAATAAAAAAAGTAGCAGGATGCTTTTAGTTTGAAGGTCAAAAACTTGGACCGGAAGTTGTTTTGTTTGCAACCGGTTCTTTCTGTGGACTTCAGTGTAGGTTCACGTTGAACATACGGAAAGAAAAAGCGATGTCTTTTTGCTCTTTCTTCGGTGGAGAGGTCTTCAAAGACCATTTTAAGTCAGGTACCGCTATGACTTTTTTTTATTTAAACTTATTGTATTTTATTTAATGTTTCTATATAACTTAATCGGTTTTGGAGACAGGTGAACTATCCAATACAGCACAAATAACTTTTCAAACTGCTGGTTAGCTCGTTCTAACTCGTACTCATTGTCCGTTTCAGGCTATAAAACCTATTAGGAAGTACTGTTTTTATATCCATGGTCGCAGGTGATTGTGATGTAAATAGCGAAAAACGTTCAACCTGTTGTGTAACCATGTTCAAGTTACATAACAACCAGATTACCAAACTAGATTAAGCTTCACATACAAGGATGTCATTAATTTTTTTTTACATACCCTTAACCACAGCTAAAATGGTAACAATATCTTTAAAGAATTAGTGTTTCAAACGATGTAAAAAAAAACTTTATATATATATATATATATGTGTGTGTGTGTGTGTGTGTGTGTGTGTGTGTATATATATATATAATAAGTGTATATATTATATAAATGTACATATTATTTTAAAACTGCAGTAGAGACACTCTATCGCTTCATGTTACATAACAGTCTCCTGCCTATTATTCCTCAGGGATTTATGTGTGCACCAAGTGTGATAACCAGTTGTTCTCCAGCCGCTCCAAGTACGAACACTCTTCACCCTGGCCAGCTTTCACAGAGACCATCCATGAAAACAGTGTGTCCAAACATGAGGAGAGGCCTGGGGCATACAAGGTACCATCATTAAAATCGTTTTAAGTTTTTAATTGACTAGGTTCTTCTTCAACTGCCCATGCGCAGTTTCACATGTGTATGATCAGTTTGAACCAGTTTGAATAGGATTTATATCACTTCATTCACCTGCTTGCTTTATACATGCTACTAATGCACATTCACCTAATGTATATATTATGTATAATGTTCTTCCTCCCCCCTCTTTTTGCACAAGTCGAGAGGCGTGTCATGTTACATTTCACTGTGTGTTATACTTGTATAACTATGCATGTGACGAATAAGGAATCTTGAACCTACTCTCAAGCACTAGCTGGCTGTAAGTCAGAGGACTCCTGTGATGGACTTGGCTGCTCTAAATGCTGGTTAATTAATTTCTATCACTTTTTTCCCTTCTATCTGTCACTTTTGTCTTGTTCAAGGTGCGGTGTGGGAAGTGTGGGAATGGACTTGGTCATGAATTTGTGAATGATGGGCCGTCCAAAGGAGTCTCTCGCTTCTGAATATTCAGCAGCTCACTGAAGTTCATCCCTAAAGGTATAAACAGCCAGGCTATTTCTCCACACGAGGTTGAGACTAGTGGACCTGTCAAGTTATAATTTGTGATATGAGCCTAGGAATCGCGATTTGCAGTGAGCTCAAAGTTCTAGTGTTGTTAACCAGCTCCCATGTTATTTTTTCATCTTTAAATTTGCTTTAAAACCAGAATGTTATGTCCTCGTTCATGTGTGTAGTGTAGAGGAGCCTAAGGATGTGTTACTGTTGTGACACAGTCCTCAAAGGTATTAGTTAAAATCAAACCAGAGTTTAAACATTTCTTCAGAGGAGTTTCACAGTTAACTGTGCTCATCAAGATTTACATATTCCATCTCCTTTTCTTTGTCCCTTGTCCACAGATAAAGTTGATGGACTGTAAGGTGAGATTTCAGGAGTAAGTGCTGCTGGATGGATGTCTCTTTGCATTGCTAAAGGTGTGAACAGTCAATGAAGTACTCTGGGACAAAGCCCAGCGTGGGAGCACCAGAGCTCTGATGGACGATGGTCTCACTAGACAGCAAGAACAGAGGACAGCTCTCAACACATCTGCTATGCAATCATCACAGACTTTGCAACTTATTGATCACACCCTCAATGTCTCCATGTCTCCTTGGTTTTTATTTCGATTGACAGTGCAGTACTTATCACAGTCGTCCCATGAATCTTTTCCAAAGATTGCTCATTTAAAAAAAAAAAATTGTCCTAAACTCTTGTTTAAGGCGCTTGGTGTTGAAAATTAGGGGCCACGCAAACCTTTTTTCATTGAATGAAATGATTCCTGTGCAATATACCTCTCTCTCTAGAGAGGCTTTATGTAATAGGTCACAATAACCTGAATACACAGAAATAAAAAAAATATTTTAAATTATAAATAGACTATTTGTTAATGATTATATTTTTATATTCATTTGGTTGATGAATTTTTTGTTCCAATATTTGTGAATGAAGGTAAGTAGGTATGCATTTTAGTTTTTCAGAAAATTGCCACCAGGTGGAAGCAATGAGAGAAGGATCGGGCATTACACAAGAGTCACGGAGCTGCTGACACTTGATCTGTGCACGAAGGTTTTTCAGGCCTAAGCTGGGCAACTGTAGAGATAAACTGCTTTGGCTCTGACGACTTTTGACTGAAATGGATGAAATGTCTCACTGCTCTTTTTCTGGTGGTGAAGAATATAAAAATCACTTCCAGCCTGGTGAGTGAAAGAAAGTGTGAGGCTGCATGTGACTGTGTAACAAGACACTGCTGTAAAAATATAGAAGACTGTGCCTCTTTCCTCATTCTCAGGTATATATGTGTGCTCCGAATGTGGCCACGAGTTATTTTCAAGCATGTCGAAGTTCGAGCACTCTTCTCCGTGGCCGGCGTTTTCACAGACTATCCGTGAAGACAGTGTCTCAAAACACCCTGAAGCTTGGGGACCGATAAAGGTAGTAAACAACATTTGTTAGGAAGCTTCATATAATAAGCTGGACTAGATGTGATTTAACACTGTTACCAATCAGGTATAAGGTTTGACTTGCACAATCTGGATTAAAATACTTAGGTCTGTTGTGGGAAGTGTGGCAATGGACTGGGTCACGAGTTCTTGTATGATGGACCAAGAGAAGGGCTGTCACGCTTCTGAATCTTCAGCAGCTCACTTATGTTTATCCCTAAAGGTGACTATCAAGGGTTTCCTACATTGCACAGCTGGTTTCATACATTACACCCCCACTATCCACCTGCAACCAGCTGTTGTTTCTTCTTTTCTCTAAACAGAAAAGGCTGATGGACAGAAAGGTGAGCAGTGAAAGACAAGAATTTTCCCTCCTGCTGATGTGTTCACAGCAAATGAAGTACTCAGGATAAAGTTTAATGGATCTCCTGGGCACTGATGAGAAAGTGGACACTAGGAAGAAAGGACTGGTCTAAACAGATTGTTCAACTGTGAGGATACAACACAAAAAATAGCTACAGCTACAGGAAATAGCTCAAATTCAGCCACATTGTTTGAACTTTGCACTTTTTTTTAACTTGTCCCCTGGGCAACGAGTGTCAGATGTTTATCAGCCACAGTCTCAGTTTAAATTAACCCACGTCTGGGAAAATGTGTTAATGACTGTGTACCAATGTCTAATTTGTGATTCCACCAGCTGATGGTGCTATATAGCCTAAATAAGCTTTGTTTTTCTGCATTATTAGTCACTCTATGATGTTACTGTATAAAACAAACAAACAAACAAACAAAAAACCCTTTTGGTTTGATTGGTCCCAACCTCTAAAGCTCTCAGAGTTTCATGACTGGACTCATACAGTTAGAATCATAAGGAACTATCTTCATTCACACTGCGCTCAAGGAGTGAGCCCTACATGTGCTATAGTACCTGCCAAGTACCTCAAACACTGCACCAATTTGGCTTAGAGCATTGATACTGATTTAAAGTCATTTTAATTGTTAATTTACCTTAGGGTTAGGGTTAGAAAGTATCACATTGTACATCAGTTCAATATATATTTATTGGCTACTTTCTTAGGTAAACAGTGCTAATACTGTGTAGGATCTTCTTTTTCCTTCAGAACTCTTAATAAAGTGCTGGAAATATTCCTCAGAGATTTTAGTCCATTTTGACATGATAGGATCACACGGTTGCTCCAGGTTTGTTGGCTGCACATCCATGATGAGAATCCTGTTCCACCAGATCCCAAAGATGCTCTATTGGACTGAGATCAGCTGACTGTAGAGGCCAATGAGAACAATGAACTCACTGTCATGTCACGGCCTGAACTGTTGGTGGATGGAAGAATGGATCTGTGCTTTCATGGTATTTTTTTTTTCCAGTCTTCTATTATCCAGTTTTGATGAGTCTGTGGGAACTGTAGTCTTTCTTTCCTGTTCTTAGCAGATTTCTCAGCTGCACATCATTTATGAGAATCCTGTTCCACCAGATCCCAATGATGGTCTATTGGACTGAGATCAGCTGACTGCGGAGGTCATCTGCGTAAAGTGTCCTATCCAAAAAAAACTGTTTGGGATGATTTGAGCTTTGTGGCATTGTTTGTTATCCTGCTGGAAGCAACGATTAGAAGGTTGTTCCACTGTGGTCATAAAGGGATGGACATAGTCAGCAACGATAGTTGGGTAACTGGTGTTTAAAAGGTTCTCATTTGGTGCTAAAGGTCCCAAAGTGTGCCAAGAAAATATACCCCATCCTATTACACCCCATCACAAGCCTGAAGCGGCGACACAAGAAGGGATGGATCAATGCTTTCATGTTGTTTACATTAAATTCTGACTAAATGTTGAGACTGATCAGACCAGGCGACGTTTTTCCCGTCTTCTATTGTGGAGTTTTGTTGAAAGCCTCAGTTTCCTGTTCTTAGCTGACAGGAGTGGGGCTATGTGTGGTCTTCTGCTGCTGTAGCCCATCTGAGTCAAAGTTTAAGATGTTGCATATTCAGAGATGCTTTTCTGCATACCTTGGTTGTAATGGGCACTTATCTGACTCACTGTTGCAACTGTTATCAGCTTCATGCAGTCTGACCATTCTCCTGTACTGTCTGACGTTAACAAGGCATTTTCACCCAGAGACCTGCTGCTCGCTTGACATTTTTTCTATGTGTGTGGGAAAATCCCATCAACAGTTTCTGAAATACTCAGGCCTGTCTGGCACCAACGACCATACCACATTGAAAATCTCTTAAACGACCTTTCTTCCTCATTCAGAAGCTCAGTTTGAACTTGAACAGATCCTCTTCACCATGTCTACATGCCTAAACTGATTGGCTGGTGAGATATTTGTTTTAACAAGAGGTTGAACTGATGTACCTAACAAAGTGTCCAGTGACCTTGACCTTGATTAGTGTGAACTGAATGACTGGAGTAAATAGAGACGAAAGTCTCTGCACTCAAATTATCCTCATTCTCTGTAGCCAGCAACAACAAAGAAATGCTGAACTTATCAGCAACTTTTCACAGATGTTGTTCATTCACTTTAAGTAATTGTAGTAAAAGTAAGACGCTTCTGCACAAATAAGGCCTGATTTTCTTTTTCTAATGGAATTTAGGTGAGTTTTTTCTAAGATCCACTGATTGAGAGTGCTGCATATATCTGGACATCATGTCTCCACCGCACCGTGCTGTCTCCCTTTCAAGCCGGCAGCTTGTTTCCCAATCTAGATCCTGCAGTTATGGGGCGCTGAGCAGTAATACTCTGGTACAGACGTTAGGGGGTCGTGTGTGGGTTTTTTTTTCTCCACTTGGTAAAGTTTTCTAAATATCTCAGTAAGCAGCAGTTCTTGGCTGGTGGAGTGGTGGAATTTTAAACAAAGTGAGCATGTGGGTGTATATTCAACAGCTCTCATGCTGTTTAAGTGTCTAGGATGAGCAGGTGTGAAGCTGCTGATTTTCAAAGGCTGGTAGATCTAAGGGGGAGATGAAAGCTTCGCTGTCAGACAGAGGATTAAGAACGGAAGTGCAAACATTCATAGATTGTGATGTTAAAGTATTTAAAGCATAGACTTCTTTGCTCGTTTTAGCAGTGCTGATGTTTTCTGCAGCTGCATTTCCCAAAAAAACGAAAACAAAACACTAGTGGAACATCTCACCTGGTCAAACACCTCCCATACAACCTGTAAGTAACATATACAGAAATGTTACTGGATAGAAAAAGAGCATCAGTCTTTCACTTGGAAAGACTGGGAGATGCTAATTTCTCAGCGTATTTTTCTGTGTGGAAGACGCAAGGCTGAATGTAGGGTCGTGATCTCCAGTCCTTCAAGCAGCGCTACATTAAAAATGTATACAATTCCATAAAAGAAATCCCTGAATGGGAACACTGAAACCACAGTCGGTAAATAAAGTTGTCACTGCATCCACAATCCAAGGTAAAAGTCTAGCACGCTTCTAATTGCCTTCTCTAAGCAAAAGCTAATTTTAGGTTTTAGATTTTTTAATGGTTCAAAACCACAAAGCAGTCTTTTTGTAAATCCTGGATTTTGATGCTTACCAGCGCATAGTTTAAAAGTTAGTATCTCTCATGGTGTTGTGGTACGTTAGTGCATCTGGATTTGGAGCAAGAGATGCTGCCATCTCTTGATAAATGATGTGTTTTTCATAGCAGGCCTTGATTATTTTAGCAGGAATTACATCCTAGATATATTAACAGCATAGTAAAGCAGTCTGGTTGCTAATGTGGCTTGCCTGCAGTTGAGACCTGTCACCTACGGAAAATACATTTGGCAAACTATGAAACAAAAAACAGCAGCAGCTGGTCATCGTAGTTTCTCGTGGCCTTGTTAAAAGAAAATGTGATATGTACCACACAGCAGTAAATGTTCTCTGCAAGCCAGCTGCTGGCATCAAAAACTTGTTTAAACTTGTTTTTTTTAAAACCCAAAAAACCATAAACTAACATTTTAGGAAAGCACGATCAAAACAGCAGCTACAAATGTGCAGATATGATGCGATTTTGTCGCCTGTTTCTTGCTGTCAGAGCTTTGTCTAAAGTACTGCTCAGTTTTTCCACAGACTTTAAATCATCAGGCAGACTACACCGAGCCCAATCCCTCAAACTGTCAGCTCTAACCCTAATGTTGGCTCCAGTGTTTACCTCAAACTCTCATTAATTAACTAATACCTTCCATGTGACTGATTAGATGTTGCTCATTCTCTGTAATGTCAACATACGAGTGCACAGACTAAACTGTCCTCTGGGATGAGACAAAAATGCAGAGATAAACCAGATGTGACAACGAGAGATGGAGAGGAAAAGGAAATTGCTCCAACCCCACCTCCAACCTAAAAACAAAACAAAAACAGGAGTACAATTAGCATTTGCTATCTGTGAGAACAGCCTTTCTGGCTGGCATCTGAGCACAGCTGTATGGCCA